AGTCGGCCTGAGCAATCGACTGGAGAGGCGGCAACAATTTTTTATAGCGCAATAGTTCGGAGTGATCAATTTTCGTGGAGTTGGCTGCGGCTGCTCCTCCAGAAATCAATACTGTGACGACAGATTTAACTGCATTCATGTTTGAAAGCGACGATCCCTTGATTGATGTCGCCTATGCATGTACTCTAGCTGCCTATCGAATAACTCGAGTATACGCCATTTTCGATCTTCTCAACAACATGCTAGAATCGCGCTTCGCATAATGCTTGCAACTTATTGGGTCGTTCGGGACATCTCTGCCAATTTTTGGATTAGCCTAAGAAATAAGTTTCTCCGAAAACAAGTCAGTTCATACCATGTTATACTTCACTTCTAGTTATTGGGAGTTTTTCATCCTGCTGTGAATTTCATTACTTCACTCTCATAAAAGATTTCAGACTTGCAGCTGAAAACTGCTCCATGTGCAGTCTGCAGCATCCCACCAGTGCGGTCTGCAGTGTTCCACAGAATTGTTTTTTCTCTCTCAAGTGGTAGCCTGATAGTACTAAGTTCAGCCTAAGCAGAGGATGCGACAAGGCATCTCAGCCAGGCTGCAATCGCCTTTGTCGCAAAATCAAAACTGCGTGATCCAACGTTATGGATGGTTGAAAACTCAGTTGCGTGACTGTAAGCGATTCCGTTCCTTCATTTCCTTCAGATTATTCGCTTGAGCGTATTTCGCGGCACTTTAACGCTGAGGAATTATGGGTCAGTTGAAAACGGTACGCTCGCACCTCGCTAATGATTTCTCGCACCTGGGATTCGAGGCATAATTAACGTGATGCGAAGCGACTTCATTAAGCAGAGGCATGTCGTGCTCAACTGCGGTTGACCTCGGTTCACGAGAAGTTACTAAGCTAGCTACAACTTATTAAGCTATTCACAAGTCGGCATGAATCGATTGAAAACAGTCATTAGATGATCCAGAGAGCATAAGGCTTACGGAAAAGTAATACAAAATGGTAGCGCTGCACTGTCAAACTGGATGGAATGGTACTGTGCCTAGTTTTCAACTGAACGTCGGTGCTAAGTGTAAGCTCAATCGTTCAAGACTTTGTGACGAAACTTTAAAAAAATTACGCGGAAATCTTTGATGCTTAGGAAGAGCATCTTTGCGTATCGCTAAAATCTCACTGCCTGCCTTTCGGCGAGTTAGTTACAAAAGATGACCTGCTGGCCTCTTCTATATTATGCCTACAATGACTTCTTTAGCACTTTGGAAGACCTCCGGCCAAATACAACAACACCCGCCATTAAGCGTTCTGATCGATGTTTTGCTCAACTATAAAGCTACAGGTGAAGGAGATTTGTGCAGCCCACTTTTTCGCACCTCCTCTCACAGTGGCAGAGTCGCCTACAATGTGACCTCACTTATTTCCTTGCTCGCTGTCTCCTAACCTCATCGATACGCTATTCAATCAATTACAACATGTTATAACACTTCTTGAAATATATGAATACCAGCCGGAAACTCAAAAGCATAACTAACAGCGCGAATTCGCATTCCCTTTTATGCTATCCTTGACGAGGACCTCCAGCACTCAGTTCTAAAGTCCATTAATGGACTCGCATGCATAAAGAGTGATGAACCAGCAACTACAGGAGTCCTAACGCAAACTTCTGATAAACTTGTTGAAAGGAAAACAAATGTTTGAACAAATCCAAGCCCGGCTTCGCCGGCTGACACCGGCGCGCCTCCTTCTGAGATGCAGCACGGCTTCGTCGAGCAGGCGCGGCTCCACCGCGCTTGCCTTATTCCACTCAATTCATTAGCCACCTAATATCAGGCTTTTCTTTAATCTGAACAGGTAGTCGACATTCCTTGACCAATAGCATCATACCTGCTACTTTCAACACTATTACAGTGACTGGAGTGAAGGCACGGAGCGTTGATGAAGTGGGCAGATGAGAGAAAAGCCGGGTATTAGTCGAGCAGATCATACGAATGCAGCTAAGCGCAACGCCACGCAAAGCCGGGTATCACATAGAGGCCTGGAGTGCCTGAAGTGCTCTGGAACCGCCTGAGGAGTTTTTAAGGCTGGTCCCGCTCACCTTGACGCACGCTCCACACACGACAGGTATTCCTGACACTTGTGAACCGGTGACCCCCTCAATGACCTCAAACTACTTTCTCCCAGTGTCTGGAGTGCTCTGGAACCGTTTTGCGAATTTTTTTAAAATTTGGCTCCACCCACCTTGGGGCACGCCCCGCCCACAATGTATGCCTCGCACTTCTCAACCAATGACCCCTCGATGACCTTAAAATAATTTTTCCCAGTGTCTGGAGTCCTCTGGAAGCGTTTTGCGAATTTTTTAAGTTTGGCTCCACCCACTTTGGGGCAAGCTCCGCCCGCAACGTATGCCCCGCGCTTCTCAACCAATGACCCCTCGATGACCTTAAACTACTTTTTCCCGGTGTCTGGAGTCCTCTGGAAGCGTTTTGCGAATTTTTTAAATTTGGCTCCACCCACCTTGGGGCACGCCCCGCCCACAATGTATGCCTCGCACTTCTCAACCAATGACCCCTCGATGACCTTAAACTACTTTTTCCCGGTGTCCGGAGTGCTCTGGAAGCGTTTTGCGAATTTTTTAAATTTGGCTCCACCCACCTCGGGGCACGCCCCTCCCACAACGTATGCCACGCACTTCTCAACCAATGACCCCTCGATGACCTTAAACTACTTTTTCCCGGTGTCTGGAGTCCTCTGGAAGCGTTTTGCGAATTTTTTAAGTTTGGCTCCACCCACCTTGGGGCAGCCCCGCCCACAATGTATGCCTCGCACTTCTCAACCAATGACCCCTCGATGACCTTAAACTACTTTTTCCCGGTGTCTGGAATGCTCTGGAAGCTTTTCGCGAATTTTTTAAGTTTGGCTCCACCCACCTTGGGGCAGCCCCGCCCACAATGTATGCCTCGCACTTCTCAACCAATGACCCCTCGATGACCTTAAACTACTTTTTCCCGGTGTCCAGAGGGCTCTGGAAGCGTTTTGCGAATTTTTTTAAATTTGGCTCCACCCACCTTGGGGCACGCCCCGCCCACAACCGTTCTTCAGGTGCTATGAATTTCGTGACAGACAGACAGACGCACACACACACACACACACACACACACACGGACATCGCCGATTATATTAGTAGGATGGGAATGTGAAGAAACCAAATGAATATTGAGTTTCAAACCGATGAATCAAAAGTGAAAAAGAACATAATGGAGACCTTTCCTCAACTCGAAAATAGCTCTCATTGCAGTCTATTGATGATATATAAAGAGATCACTTCGCCTGGAAGCTGATCAACATTTAATGTGACCGTCAGCACTTTTAATTATCCTAAATCTTATTCATTATCCTCACACCTGATAAAAAGGTCATCGCTAAGATGATATTGGATGAACTCCTCGGATTCTTCAAGGCCCTCAGTCCACAATGTCTGCGCCTGATTCATCGTTATAGTGGGCACTTTATTTCAAGTGCCTCTCCCATCCTTTACAGGACCATCATACTACATTATCGCCACACCGATTTTGCAGGTTACAATCCAACTGGACTCACTTTACCTGATTTGCATTCGGCTTCATTAGACATCGGTTGCAGTTCCTTCCTTGCTGTGGCGCAAGTTATGAATTTGGTGACCCTCTTCTTTTAAAGCCCCTTGGCAGCCCTTGTCAGCTGTAATCACCTCCTACCCCAGCAATAGTGTTCCTGGCTGACCTCTTACATCACTTATTGATATGAACTCTCTACGACTGTTTTGAAGGAAGTCGAATTTCCGGTCAAATACACATACCAACAAACTTACCGAATTATATACAGTAGGATTGTTGCCGCCTCTTCAATCGATCGATCAGGCTGAATCGGTATCAAAAGTTCAAGACATACAGTGGCACTCAAAAGTATTGGGCCAAACGGTTTTTCACCCATAATCTGTTTTTCTTACCCAGAGAATCCTTTTAAAATACGGTACGTTGTACCTAATGCTGCCAAAAAAACTTGATTTTTTTTCTTGCAACACAGTGCGTGATCCGCAAACTTTTCGTGCAACGACTGCTATCAGTCGCTAGAAGGCCGCCAACTACCCACATTATTCGAATTTTGAGCAGTTTGACGGCATCATTTTTGTGTGCCTAAGCAGACTGCTCTTTTTCTCAATGATTTGGGAGACCATCGGAACCTAACCATCGGAACCTAGAATATCAAAAAAAGCACGAATATGAAAATGGCCGCGTGAAAGTGCGCCCTTTCAGAGTATTCTGAAGGTCTTGAAAGGCACATTTCCATCGATTCTTGATCGTATTCGCAGCATTGAGACCGTAGTCAACGTTTCGAAAACCTTTGCATCATATCTGTCATCTGTTCATCGAAATAGACTCATCACCCACCGCCTGCAGGTTGATTCCGTATCGCAAAATCGCAAGTGTGCGATCGAAAACCCGCTGTTCAGGTCAAAGAGTAGAAGAGTCAAAGTAGAGGTCGCTCTCCGCCACCTGACTTTATATCGCACTATCGGAGGAGTGTCCTGGCCGTCAACGTAGAAGTGTTGAGATTGCCGGAGATACGCCTCACATACTTTGCATTACTAGATTCGAAAACTATGAGCCTGCTCTCGTTAATGAATTGTACCTTGTCCTCACCATCCATGCTCAGTGAAAGTGGCGGAAAGCGACTTCTACATCGACCCACCCACTAACAGTTGGCTACTTAATGCCATTGAACTATGCTGCGAAGTCGATGCAAGTGGACTCGGAATCAGCACGCAAGCTACGAGTTATGCGTCTATCCTAGCGAACAAATAAATGTGATCCAAGGTCTTCGAAATGTTGACTACGTACCTAATATGCAAATACGATGGAGAGTCGAAGGGAATGTGCGTTCTGAGCCCTTCAGAACACACGGAAAGGGTTCACTTTTACGCAGCCATGTTCATGTTCATGCTACCTACAGTATAGTTGAGAATGCTTGCTACCTACAGTATAGTTGAGAATGCTGTTTGTACTTTGCTGTTGCTTTCTGTTTTGATTTTTTTTCTCGTTGACTCACTTGCGTTCGACCGGTAGCGTGATTAAGGGGTTTGCCGTTTTTTGTCCAGTGAATTTCGAGTGGCTTTGGTCGTCCACTAACAAGGCATGGAATCTCTGTTGACTCGCCGGCATTAGCTGTCACCTCTGCGGGAACAATGATGACTGGGGCGCCTTAATGATACAATCAAGGCGACTGATTGCTGGAACTGTTGTAATAAATGAAACGGACCTCGTATATAAAGGAAGTGGGACATGGAGGCGTCCCTGAAACCGTCAACTACTGCTGTGCAAATATATTCTCCTTGCTGCCAGCTGCGAACATTATCTATTGTAATCCTGAAGTTCTGAGGAGAATGGTCATTCCTTCATGGTTTACACGAAACTGTTACTAACGTGTCCCCTTCAGCAATAATCTGCTCGTCTCCTGCTCTTCTCCAGAGCACTGAGGGCAAGGGATTCCCGACGGCATCACATCGAAACGATGTTGGTTCTCCCTCATTCACTTCCTTCTCTTGTGGAGTTGACATGATTCGCGGTCCAACTATAATAAAAGCTTCAATCACACGATGCAGAGACAATAAAAAGAAGAGATAATTGAGAATGTGATCTGGTGCGCTCTTTAAAAGGGTTTTTTGCATATTGTAGGGGGTCGTACAAAGACCTGAAAAATGAGCTTCAGTTCCACCGCGCGCTTCCAGAAAAAAAAACAAAAAAAGGAGGAGAAAGAAATAAACTGCTTTCTTCTGAGCCTCTATGCGCTGTGAATCACTTACAACATCGACCAGTTGCTGGGTGGAGGGTCCTTTCAGAGAGCTGTTAAAATCAAGGTCCTCTCACTTGTGTGGGGGCTCTACAGTGAGCTATGATTCCTACAACAATCGGAGTTGCATGTGGGCAGCGATCAGATGACCTAGTGGTAGGACTCTCTCTATCAGTGGGAGGACGGGGCTCTTAAATCGGTCTCTTGGCCGCAAATTTCCTTTTTTCAGTTTTCGCTACTCTTCCATGCATATCTGTTAAGTACGATAGGGATAAATACGACAGGCATAAGCCATTTATGGACACATTCTAAACAGCAGTACCCCAGAGTCGATGCAATGAGCATTCAACAAATAGAATTTTCAGTCAATATTTATGAGAACCGCTGCTGAAACTTGTCTTTAAGAGGCTTATCAGCGCCCATATCATGACTACGACACTCATTTCTGGCTACGGTGCTATTTACTGCAAATTCGAGCCCATCTTTCTCTCGCAGAATCATTATAGTACTCTCGAATGGCGACTACTGAGCGCTCTTATGGCGCCAGATTGCTTCGCTTTCAAGAATGAGTGACGAATGGTGATCAGGACCACCGGTTACCCCTATAGCCAAATTTTGACCAAAAAAGTCTATTTTACCTCCTTGGGCTAGTTTATTGGGTTGTGCTCACGAGTTCCCCTACATAACATGTAACTAACAACAAGATTATAGTCGTCGAAGGAAAAAAGAAAGGTGCACATTCTCCCAAACACACCCTAAAGAAGAAGGAAAAGCCGAAAGAGTGCAATTGCTAGTTTCTTCGTAAGGGGACGACTTCTTTGTTGAACGATTCGTCGATAGGAATCAGGAGGGTCTAGAATATTTGGTAATGTATCGCAGCTTATCAGACGCATAACAGTATGTGCATGAAAGAAACTTGTTCACACTAAACTGACAATACGGTTGAGCGCGATCCGCTATGTTACCGTTACTTCATCACCGTTACTAAGATGTGACAGTCCGGTCACTTTGTGTCACTCTGACACTTACTCTTGGTGCCAATGCTATCTAGCACCAGCATGGCGCCGAACAGTCCGAGTGTCCGTGAATATCAACTCAAAGTATCGTTAGTTAGTGCATTTTTGTTGGGATAAAGGATCAAACAAATTACGGACCAAAAAAAATTTCAAGGCCAGCGCCCTTCTTGTGAGACGGCCTAGCTCTAGTGATACAGAAACAACGGAGCGCCATGTGGAAGTTCTAGGACACCTTTCCCAAGCGTTACAGCGAGCACATCAATGATCATCATGCATCATCATCATCATCAATCACCAGCTTCAGAAAAGTTAAATTTTTCAAAATTCTGTAGAGTTTCTAGGACAAGTAGTGGACCGGGATGGTCTGCGCACTCATCCTAGCGGAACAGAAAAGATTTACGACTATCCGCAGCCACAGAATACAACCGAAAATTATTTTTCGATGTGCACAAATTGCTCAACCGCTGTATGATCTCACGAGCACAAAAGCATCGTTTCGGTGGCTAGAAGCACATCAGTAGCGTTCAGAACCTTCGAAGGATCTTCTAAAAGCGAAAGCTTCAGTTCTGGGACAACCAAAACGTAGCCGCACGTAAAGAAAAGCGGACGTTTTGCATATTCACAGATGCATCCCGCACTGGAGTTTAGAAGCGGTTTTAGTAAAAGGGCGATGACAAGCTAATTCATCGTTTGCATTTTGCCTCTAGAGGGGTTGTCCAAGTCGAAGAAAACTACCACATAACGGATCAAGAGGCGCTTGGCGTTATTTTTGCGGTAAAGGAACTTCTTCATTATCTACGGGGTGCGAACCATTGTCCGGACCGATCACGCTGCTCTTAGTTCGCTGTTCAAACGAGCTAATGTTATTCTACGCGTACTGAGATGGGTATTAGAATTTCGGCGTTATGATCTGCAAGCAGAGCACGTAAAATTTTGGCACTTGTTGAAGACCAGGATTGGCTGGTGGAGTTAAGAAACGATGCCGATTTTAAACCAGTAATATAGGCAATAGAGGAACAGGGGAAGAGGAACTCACGTTCACGATACGGTAAGGTAGTTACTTTGGCTGATTCCGAAATTAGCAATGGATACCCGAGAGTAAAGACGAGAACTCTTCGAGGAAGCACACCATGGACTCATGGGTGGCCATTTTGGTTCCAGGAAAATGCTGCTTCAGTTGGAAAAAATAGCATTCTGGCCGGGAATGAAGCAGGATATGCAAAATGGTGTTGGGAATGCCAAACGTGCTTTGTTAACAACAGCCATAGCGTCAGCAGTCCTCCACTGAAGCCTATTGTCGTGGCCAGACCTTCTGAAATAATGGACTTGACTTGCTGAAGATAGGCACTTCAAGCGGAGGAAACATCCTACTATATATAATCCGCTAAGTATGTCTGTGTGTATGTGTGTGTGTGTGTGTGTTCGTGTGTGTGTCACGAAATTCATAGCGCCCGTCCCAATAGCAGTGAGACATTGATTTCAAGAAGTGATGTAGGGGTGTGACGGGAACACTATTGGTGGGTGACAGGAAGTGATATCAGTTGATAAGATTCGATAAGGGGCGTTAGAAGGAGAAGGTTACCATATTCATAACGCGGGTGACAGCATCAGCTAGCTCTTGATTCCAAGATATGATATAGGGTATGGGCCAAGAACATTATTGGTGGGTGACAAGAACTGTAAGCTGCTGATAAGATTCGATAAGGGGCGTTAGAAAGGTGGTCATCGTATTCACAGCGCAGGTCACAGCATCAGCGAGGCATACGTTTCAGCAAGTGATATAGAGGGTGAGATGGGGACATCAACCGTGGGTGACTGGAAGCGATAACTACTGATAGGGGCTGATAAGGGAAGTTGCAGTCGTCGTCGCTGTTCAAGGTGGTTCACGCTACCAAATCATAGAGATTTAGTGATGAGGACATTGATGACGGGTGACAGGTAATCTTATCAATCGATAAAAACAGATAAGATACCATCTGCGCTACATTTTTATCACTTCTTACCGGTTCACTGCCGAGTATTAGAAGCTCTTCCCCTTAATGGCAAAATAATCAAGGTCGTCCATCGGAGTATTTGCTTTTAGATGCATGCAATGGTGTCGAGCGGGGGGGGGGGGGGGGTATATAGTGCGGCTGAAACGGGAAAATCGAGAAATTCATCAATCAAAAAATTTTCGCAAATCTGCCTGCTATGTGATGTGTTAGGAGGTGGCGGTCGCAATGGAAGGAAATAAGGAGGGAACCAACAACTGGGAGTGGGGACGTCCTGTCGGCACACACTTTGACATGTACAAGCAATGTGAAGTTCTCCTTTTCAGTGCCACCCATGACTCTGCAGTTATGCCTCTTCCGGGTGTTAAGGACTCATCCGGACTAATTCAACTTTACCCATTCTGATGTCGCAACTGCGGTCCTTGATGATATGGTGCAGCCTTCTCACGGTTGAAAGTCTGTAGTAAGCAAGAGGGACCAGATGTTGGTAGATAATGACTGATGTTCAAGCTTTTTTCCAACTCATTTTCTTACATTTATGAAAAAGTAACCGCCACCGTTTGGCAATTTAGAACATTCCACCTCGCCAAGGGAAGAGTGCCTGGCAAAGCCAGGTCGGCCCGGCGAAGCCGGGCCGTGAAACAGGAGGAGCACCCGGCGGCAGTAGGGAGATCCGACAGGTGATCAGTATAAATAGAGTTCTTGTCAGGTTTAAAAGCGCGCTAGTGCATTTCTTCTCACTCTGGAAAGTATCGGAGAAAGATGAGGGATCAGTATGATAGGCTTTTCAGTACCGACAAGTCGACCATAATAAAGGAAGGTGATCGCGCTCATGTAGGTGTCGCCATGTCGCCAGAAAAAAGCAAAGCATCTCACCCAAAGCTGGTAACCGATTGGTCAGGACCATATAGAGTCATCGAGAGCAGCACAAATTCTGCACTAGTTACCTTGATAGGGCAAAATAAGGAGCCAATAAGGGTACAATGGGATCACCTGGCAAAGGTACCACCCACGATTTCCGATACCCCTTGAGGACTAAAGGGTTCCGTGGACGACGTGGTCGCAGATGTAACCTGACAAATTGCTGCGATATGACTCGTAATCAGTTCGCTTCTAGAGAGCCATCGATTGCGATCACGAACCCACTTCACGTCAACATTTGTCCAGGAGGCTTATTGTTGAATGGTGAAAGATGTCCTGGTACTTGCAGTATGACGTGACGTGAGATCTCCGGCTTGAGGAATTTGCCAGTGGATAATCTGACATTCGACTGCGTCTACAAGCTCGCCCGTGTGGCCACTATCATGTCTCAGACGCACACTTCTCCGGAGATGCGAATGGCTCGAATTCTGGACCCAGAGTATGACGCCCTATCCCCGACCGGACTGGGATTCGCTATATCATTTTTCTCAGCTAAATGTTTACACGTGATGCAGGGCATACAAATCGAGATACTCGGCAGGACATCATGGGTTGGAAGCGCACCCGTGTCCACGCTTGAAGACCCATACGATCCGAGTCGCTTTGATTACGCGTGCAGCTGGGCGTAAGCCCATTATGGAAGGGAACACTGTAAGAAGACATTCCACCGGGAAAGACACTGATATTGCTGCCATGTGACTTCAAAGAGCACGCTTACTCAATACAGTCATATTGCCAATTAGTTAGGGTCTACTCCAAACCGGACGATATACAGGAAAGCTGGTGTCAGGACGAATCCTCCGCTGTCGTTCTACTTAACCCGTCAAAGGCCTTGGACACTTCAGCGTGGGCTCGAGCGTGGCAGCTGATACTTGGAATGATATCCGATGGAGTCGAGTTGTTTGTTCTAGGAACTCCTCGAGATCACCAACAGTGGCCCAAAGCAGTGGACATATTGAGAGATCTGTGCGAAGAGACGCTCGCTCAGGTACTGACTTCAAAATCGAAGTAGGTATCTACTGATGTCGGAAACCCAGCGATCTCTTACTCCATCCTTGCCAGAAGCCAGAAAAAAGAGTGGTTCACGCCTGCATTGTTAATCGACGAGTGAGTTCAGAAAGTTCTGTGAGGCCACGCGCGACTTTTGTATCCCACACATAAGGCTTACGCCGTATTCCAAGATACGGACAAAATCCGAAGTGGAGAAATATGCATCTACAAGGAAGGTCGTTCAGGCCGTGGTGAGCTGTTGCATGTTGTAGGGGTCTATGCGAGGACCATAGCGATGGGGTTCATTTTTGCTAAACGGTTCTGGGAATGTCAAAAAAAGGTCAAAAACAATTCGAAAAAATGGCCACCTTATTCGCCTCTGTTCTAGCTGTAGCGTTGACAGGGTATAGTATGTAGGGTATCCTTTGAGCAGGCATGAAAAACAGCGCAAAATAAGGTCAAAATCCAAATGGTCTACTTGGCATGCGGTGAGCTGCATTGGAGTTTTCCGGTCATCTGCGCATATCTCTTCAACAGGTCCTGTATCTCTAGTGTCGCAGTGGCAGATGGTGTGGTGGATAGTGCGACGGGCTCTCGGTCGGTGGGTCTGTGGATCTGCCGACACAATTTTTGCATTTTTCACATTTCTTGCTTCTTGTATTCCTGTATGCCCCATAATGTGTATGACCCGGATATACGCCATTTGCACATTCCATGCGGGAACGGTTCACAAATAGGCCTCACTCAATTATTACGCTCGCGAAATACTATCGAAAAACTCTTCATGAAACTTGGGTTACGGCGGTTATCCGATGCTCTGTTCATGAACACGACACTCATTTTTGAATATGGCGCAATGTGTCGCTAATTTGGTGCAAAGGCTTTCTCGTACTACCATCATTGTCAGTCTGCGCGGCGGGGCTATTTAGCGCCATACTGGCCCCAGATGGCCTCCGCAGCAAAAATAAGTATCTGAACCGTGATCAGGACCATCAATTACCCCTACGTATAGAGTTACGCCGAGAAAAATTTTCCCGAGCTTTTTGTGTTATGTTGCCGGCCATGTCTCCAGCTAGTGGCTATCAGCCCCCCCCAAGGAGTCGTTATCCAACATCGTTAAGAGGAAGCTTTTCATTTGCTAGTATGCAGACGCAGAATTAAAAACTACACAAAAAAGTGACGCACATACACTGCACTCCTCTCTACCTTTGATATGAGAAACAAAAACCTTTCTCCGGGCAGGTTTGTCGAAAGCATAGACGGTAAAAGTGAAGAAAGATCCAGGATGCTCGTTTAGTGGCTCCGAAGCTAGCACGATGTTCTATGAAGACCTACTGAAGTTGAGGGGCAAGAAATGAAAAATTTCTGGCGGTTCGTCTGCCAGAGAGGATACTTAACGGAGGGTTCGCCTGTCACTGCCATCCAAATGGTCAGGTCCATGACCACTAAAGAAACTCGAAAAAAATTTTTCGCTGAAACCTCTTAAACAGGGGTAATCAATGGCCCTGATCACGATTCTGACAATTATTTATGGCGCCGACGTGATCTGGGGCCAGCGTGGCGCTAAAAGGCCACTGCGAGCGCGAAGGGATGCTGCATAAGCCCCTAAAGAAATTGCAGTGTACCTCACTGTATGCCAAGTAAAATACTTGTATTTCGACATTATAGTATTATATAATTATTAATATATATATATATGATATACTGGTGTGCCAGCACGTGGAAGAATAGGGGGGCGTCGGGACTCCCTCGCCTACTCGGAATGGAAAGGCGTACCTGAAGAAGACGGAATATCTAAGCAGGTCATCCTGACCTAAACCCCCTCGATTACCGGGTTCGAGCGAACCAGTGGCCGAGAAATCAACGACTTTCGCGTAACGGAATCTCTATGGCGCGCTCTTCCAGAAGACTGTGGCGGAGTCGTGATAGTGCGCAATGTGTTCTTAAAAGTGGTGGTGGAAATGTCCAATCAAATTTTAACAAAGTGTAAGTTACATCCCCTTAGACGTCGAGGAAGAGAAGTCTTATTTTTATTGGCCACCCCCTATATATTCAGTGTTCTCCGGCCCAACATCAGGAGAGGTCTAAGCTCGCATCTCCAATCTTCCGAGCAGTTGTCCAACCTTATCTCATCTCGCTCTCGCGGCATCGCTGATATCTCAGCGGCAGACGAGGGACCTTTTTGAGCATCCATGTCGTCCAGGAGCTGAAGGATTGCTGAATGTTCGCCCGTACCGCTTTTCTTCTTTTTAGTGTTATCGCAAATTCTTCGGGTTACATGAGAATGCTGGCATGATGATCCGGTTCTCTGGTGGACTGCTGTCTGCTGTTCTTGCAATAGAAACAATTCCCAACTTCGCCACATTCTCCTTCATGTTACAAGCATATGAAGCAACGGTTTTCAGAAGGAGAAGTTCTCTTGCAGTGCGTATCCTGGGGCAGGCAGCAAAGTAGTGGTTTTCGATTTCCATACACTATATGCACATCATGCAGCCTTCCCTTTTTCTCATCGTTTCTTTTTTCCCCGAATTACCTTTCTCGCGCGCTATTTTTTTCGATGAAGTCGTCGATTTTTTCTCTTTCCACTTAATAATACCTCAGATAATTTTCGTATTCCTCCCTCCTGTTGTCATCCTCGTCTCGTTTCTCTTTGCTTCTGTGTCGGGCTTCTGCGTGTGTCGTCCCTGAGCCGCAAATCTTACTTCTCAGCTCCTTTCCTTCCCCAAATCGAAAATGCTATACTATGCTGTTTTTGTTTTGGCAGCACACGGAATGCTTTTCGTTAATACTCTCAAGTATCCGTACCGTACGTCTAGCCAAGGCACTTTCCACGGCATCCATACGCTCTTTCACACTTTCGCAGATGGTCCATCTGTCCATGAACTTCGTCCCGAAGCTATTCTACGACGAGACGTAAATATCCCATTGTTCTCCTCGTGTACTTCCGTGTGACGGGCCTGCACTCTCGCTTGATCTACTGCTTCCTTTTCTTTCTGCGCAGTGAGGTGTCGAAGGCCATCATCTGATAATGTACCATGCCCAGACTCGACGATTTCGGTTTTTAGCTTCAGTTCCTTGCGAAGGCAACGTTCTTGATCGTAGGAAGAAAGCCTGCTGAAGAACAGCATGCCCTCTTCATACGATCAAGAAGGTTGGATCGCTCTGGTTGAAAGTTTGGTTACTTTCGCTCTTGAACCTCCCATTGTGCATTTCATTTATTTCTTTAGAGATTCTTTTGTTCAGGTTTTTACTCTCTCATTGTGCTGAGAAGTAATTTGAAGGGCATGCACAGTATTAGAGTAAGCAAGCAGAGGAACATGCAAACAATCTTCAGCTGAAAACGAAGATTACTTTTGACAAGGCCGAGAAAAAGTCTGTCAGAAACGCATACGTAGGTAGGTATTACTGCTGGTATCAACGTTAGTACTGTTAGAAGTAGCGTTCCCGTCCATTGTAGAAACACGACTATCATATTACCCAAGTCGGGTAGGTTGAATTCCGCAAAGATCTCGCTTTTTCCTTTAATCAGAAGTGGTCCTGTCATACTGATGCTTCCCGTGTATTGGAAAATCCCAGCGATTTCGAACGATGTCTCCGTTAACTGCAGTGTGCGGTGCAGTTGACGTGGACGTGCGCTGTATCCGAATAGGAGCGGAATCTTGACGTCGAGGCTTTTTCCGTACGAGGAACTGTGAACGCATATTCTCCACATTGAATTTTGGCCAACTCTCGGGAGGTTGATGATTTGCAGATCACTGCTGCTTCAGCTCCCATTGCGCATCTATAGCATACTTGGCAATGGAGCGTGATGGTATACGTTGCCGCCGAGATGAGCAACGTAGTTCGGATTTTCCTTGGATCTTGTATATAAATTTAGCAGTTGGAAGTTGTGGTATCTTTGCTAGCAGTTGGAAGTTGTGGTATCTTTGCCATCAGCTGTCCGTAGATTCTGTAGAACAGACATCCTGAACTTGAGGCGTGGCAGACGCATCCTAGTCCGCCGCAGCTCTTTACACATCCTGTAACTCCAGGAAATTCATTGGCCTTCTGTTTCTCCATAGCCAGAGACAAACGATTGTTTGCCGCACGTTTTTCTCCCTTGCAAGAGCCAAGATATGGAAATCGATTGCTATCGAGTAAACCGTAACTTGTGCTCCTCGTGTACAGTATGATTTCCTTCTCATAGAAGAGCTGAAGGTGTTTTCAGAGTAGGCGAGCTTCGAATACTGTTGTATCATTGGCTGTCATTCGCAGGCAGGTTTCCCTTTTGAATTGTTCGTCCTCACTACTTATGTTGTGCCCACCGAGCAGGTTGTTGAGTGTTTCGTGTGATGGCAGGAGTGCGTATTCTGTTAGAAGAGTTGACGTCCTGGCATCCCCACGATGCTTTCACAGTCAGAAGAAAAATGGCCAGTTCCGACCAGATTCGGCGTCTTCTATTTGGACGTAGTCATCTGAAGAGACATCGAATGAGGTTTCATGGGATCTTTATAGAGAACTTCACAACGGCTAAACACAGTACTCCAGGAACCTGTGCTAGCTTCAGCAATGGTTTCCCGAATATAAGCGGCACAGCAAAGAGCGACAGATAATTCGCCAGTCCTACTCCTGCGAGTGCCGCTCTCGGGCAGCACTGCGGATTTACAATGTTGATCACGCATAATGTGAGGTCGATGCTGGAGCAGAATGGTGAGGTTGACATAGAACTTCGATGATGTCCATTTTCTGACCATTCGCTATTTTCCATTTAACGACGTAGTCGTGCGGGGTTACTCGGGGAGGTATTTGATGACTTCGGTTGGGAGAGCGGCAAAGGACAGGCCATGGTTTCAGCGCGCACGTCGTATGGGGCATTCTGATATTGAGTAAGCTGAACACCGCCTTCTGTGCACTGGATGTGGTGATTTTCGCTGGAGTTAGCGACAGCTATGGCACCAGGAGCCCATAGGAGTAGCGGTGAAAAATCCAAGATAAAGGTCCTCGCGATGTTCATCATGGATGGGCAACTGTGTTCCGCTATTA